TCCTTGCCCTGTGAGGCGTCTAAAAGCAGTCAAGGAATGACCAGAACTAGCTGCTAAAGTCATCATCCAGCAAATAAATCCAAAAAGAAGGGTTCTTCAAAGTTTGACCCACTAATTTAATAGATAAATTCCTCTCCATTCCAAGCCTATGTATTCTTTATACTGTCTCAGGCCCAAAGAGAGAATCAAGATGAGGAAGAACATGAGATTTTTGGCAATAACTAGGGTTACTGCCTGTTTCTATGCATGGATGATTACCATGGGCTGCCATTCCACTGTGTTCTTCCTTGACAGAATGGCCATTCCTAGCGCGGTCAACTCACAAACTCGGTTGCCAGATGGCCTAAGCAAAACAAGGTCAGAGTTGGATAGGGAGATGTGGAAGTTTCTGAGTACTTAGGTGTTGGCAAGCTTGAAACATGACCAGAGCAAACCCTCAAGGCAAGTGCACAAGTTGCAAATTAGACTCCCAGTCACAGTGGCAGGCCTGGAAACTTTGACAGTGCTTCACATGAGATGGTGTCAACCTTGGCCATAGACAGGTTTTCGTTCTTCTTGCTGTCTGCGCCAGTGGTGCAAAAGTCTTTTACAGAGAAAGAAAGTATAGAAAGCTAAAGGCCTTGACAATTTTGAAAAGTGTTGGTGATAGATAGGTCTTTGTTATCATTCTCCAGTGAGGCTGAAGGAATGAATTTTGCCACTGGACGTCCATGTAGGTTGTAGCTATATAGCAGGGCTCATCAGGGTTGGATCCTTATACCTCTGAATCGAAAGCTTTGACATATTTTGTTTGTGCCTTTTCATAGCATTCAACATGTCATTGAATGTAAGAATGTCCTGTCAGTGGCTCCTGAGGGAAAAACAGGAAGTGTTTGGGGCTGTCTATTAATATTGTGTGAGGGAGAGTCTTTCTATTGGCTGTGGATCTCATATTTATGAGGTCTGCATACAAAACGTCCGGCCTCTTAAGGTCTATGTACTGATTTCAGCTAGTTATATTTCAGGATTCTGTTCTGCCATTGCACTGCCCTCCTGATTCTGGGAGAATGGGCATTGAAAAAGCTTCATACATTTCCTTTATAATTTGGCATGAATGTAGCTGGCTCCTGTCACTTATTGAACAAAGGGCTCTCAGACAGCCTTCTTGATATAACAATAGTTGCAACAGCTTTGGTGTATAGATATGATTCTGTTCATTTGGGAAGCCTCCCAACAATTGGCAGAACATTTACTTATATGAAAATACATGTCCTCATTTGTATTTATAGTATTTGTATCAAACGTCCCATAAAAGGGAGACTGAGTGCCTTCTCTGTGGACTTGATAGATAGGAATCTATCTGTCAATTCTGCCAGTCTACCACTGGAGACTTTGTAGCATACCAAATGCCTTATTATTACTCACCTGGAGTATGCCATGCTAAGGGTCATGCTAATAGGGAGAAGATCCTTGGGCTCCACCTGGTGGCCATTCAGGGAATGTTAAAAGTGACTGAGGCTGCTCAAATTGTTAATATCTGTGGTGAAAGACTTATTTCCAGTTGGTCATGGACCACTATTTTTGTTAAATATTATATGACAAAAAATTATTAGAAAAATATATAAAAAACAGATGCAATATATAAGTCTCAATGTTTTATTTTAAACACAAGGAATAACATTTTGACAAATATAATCAGAACAAACATAAGGAAAAAGAAAATAAAAGCTATGTGTTTGTTGTAAGTGTAAACAAAACTAAACAGAAAGTTAGAGTGAGATAGCTATTTCCCCATATTAAATGATTAAATGTAGTTTTGAATAAAAGTAATACCAATATTTGATTTTTATTATTTTTTTCAATATTTAGTTTTTAATGCGATAAATGAGCTTGTTTCTTGTTAAAACATCTATTTTAGATTGAATTGATGACAGTGCTATTCACAGTGGGTAATGTATATCTAAACTGTTCCTATGTTAACTTTTAATAACATGTATAGTAGAGAAACCAGCTCACCGGGGGTATATTAATGGGAGTGGGAGAAGATACTTTATAACAATCTCACCAAACTCAGGATATTAGTTTTTATGAATTAATAAAGCAAATGAGGCTATATTTTCTAAAATTCATCTTCAACCCTTCATAAGTAGCCAATTCTAACAAGTTATTCATATTGTTATGGTTAAAATTAAATTGTCTTTTGATGAAAGAAATGAATCCAGATCCATATCCATCTTTTGATGGAAATAAAATTCAAAACATTTGCTATCCACCCTAAGTATACACAAAGAAAGAAAAAGATATTAAAATAACAAGAACAAAAAAGAAAACCATTTGGATAGGTTTCTAAGGTGCTGGTAATTGTTAAATTACGTTAAATGATACAATCCGTATAAATTCTGTCTTTCCCAATTATAACTTTTGTTTTTGCCCTTTGTTCTTATTTATCATTGAAAAACATGCTGCATGAAAGTATTGAAATCATTAAAAGTACTGAAGCTGTCAGACAAGTAAGTAAATGTGGCTGTTCAATTCACATGTTTAAAAAGTAGGAACCAACTTTTTAAACAAATAGTTTGGTTCAAACATTCTCAGCAGAACTCCATCCTTCATTAACCATTGCATCTCAGCAAGCAGTAGTAGTTATGATCAGATTCTCTATTATTACATTATAAAGAGAATATTTTAGACTTCAAAGCATTGGCTTTTATATCATCCATAATTTTTGATATGTCAATAAACATACTATTAAGATCATCTGACTTTTTCAAATAGTAAGACTTTCTCAATGAAGGGAGCAGTGCATTGCATTGGTTGACCAGAGGAAATTAAAGGGGGTAGAGGGGAAAGGCATGTTGATCTCCAGTGGTTTAGGAAAAACATATGTACATGCACATGCATGCACACACACACACGCGCACACACACACACATATATAATAAAGCAAACTGACAAAATGTTAAAAATTGGTGAATTTGGGTAAAGGGTACGTGGGAATTTTTTGTACTATTCATGCAACTCTTCTGAAAGATTGAAGTAATTTCAAACTTCAAATAAAAACAGATGATTATTTTGCTGAGAAGTAACCAAACCGCCAAAATTATGTATGCTATCATTATTGTAAACATTATTAATAAAAAGGTAAAAATTATAAACAAATACGTTAAGAGCTAATATAAATTACTTCCTTAATTTAGCTGGTAGTAGTGTAAACCATAAATGAAAAAAATTAACTTGAATACAAATTAAAATTATTATAAAAAGAAGTTATCAAAAGAAATACTCAACATTTTCTAACAGTTGAAAAAAAATGTAAAATGTCACATGTAGCAGGGTCCTGCTGTTCATGACTACTACTCAGCTCACATGTGCAGCTCTCCGTGTGAGTCCTAGACAACACCTGAACTTGTCTGTATCCTTTACAACAAGATCCCATGCTTGGCTGTCGCATCAATATCAAATTACTGTAAGTGTTTCTAGGCCCTGAGTCTCAATTTCTGTACTTAATTCCTTTTGCATCAATAACGCATGTTAATCAGCATTGGTGTAAGGAATATCATATCTTTTCCAGGAGTCTTTTCTGAATTTGGGACTTGATCTTGGAGGCAATATCAGACAGTATTGCTAAGAAAGACTGGTTGGTACATGAAAATAAAGACAAACAGGTGACCTGAATGTTCTGGAATTTTATGTTTTACAAATCCAGAGGACAGTTTTTTGTTCGTTTGTTTGCATCATGACAATACACTACAATTATACAGGATGAGAAAGAAAATAAGGCACAAAGACATTCTATTGATATGTCAAACTTTCGCTTTCTCCCTCTCCCAACAATTGTTGGAATGCCATCCATAAAGGGTCTCCAAAAGTACTGATCCAAAACAATCCAAACTTGATTTCTTCAGCAGTGGGATTGTGCATTTACCAGGGACATGAAGAAGGGTTATCTGGCAGTGTTAGTGCCCACTTGATTATTGGTGCTGATTTGTGTTCATGATTTTAAATCTGACCAGTCAGCATGTTTTTGTTTTTGTTTTTATTTTTTTCCCAGCAACATCCAGCTATTTGGGTAGATGGTGGGGTTTAAGCAGTACTGAGTTTGCAGTTGAGTGGCACAGAGGGTGAGCTACCCAAGAAAGTTAAAAGCATTTGCAGGAGACTATAAAGTGTTGGACGTGGAATATAAGGTGGGCAAAGAAGGAAGATAGTATATGTGGGGGCCCAATTAAGTGATGGATACTGGAAAAATGATAATGTTGGTGGATTGGAGATCTCAATGAAATCAAATAAGTTTTGGAGTGGGACTTTAAGTAAAGAAGCTGGAAAAATGACAGATGGTTGTTATAATTTGGGTAGTTTAATTCAAGATTTCAGAGGTGGTTGAGGAGAGCAGGAGGAAAATTTGTTTGAGATGAGTAGGTCAGGGAGAGGAGAGACTAGGAAATTGAATGGATGAAGTTATCTTCGATACATGAGGAAAAGGTGACCAGGAGGTCAGTAAGTGACAGAAACATGGAGGCTTAGTAAGGGGCCCGTCTGCTGGTGTGGATTCAAATGATAAAAAGCTTTTAGTTCTTTTTTTAAAAAAATAACTTCTAAGAGTTACAAAAAGAGTACAAAGGATTTTTGTAAGCATTTCTTTTGCCCAGATTCTTACAATGTTAATGTCTTATATAACCACAATGTAATTATCACATGCAGAAAACTAACATCGATATAATCATCTAATTGTACAGTTGTCCCACAAGTGTCCTCATTTTTGGTCTAGTATCCAATCCAGGACCACTCATTGCATTTTTTTCATCATGTCTTCTTTGTCCTCTCTAAATTGAAGCATTAAATCTTTCTTGACCATGACTTTTTTGAAACATATTGGTCACTTATTTTGTAGAGTATCTCTCAATTTGGGTGGTCTGATGTACACTGATGATTAAAATTCAGGTTATGCATTTTTGGCAAGGATACCACAGAAGGGAGGTAGGTTCTTAGTATAGCTTATCAGGAGGTATTTACTATTGCTGGTGACAATTTGTATAGCTTGGTTAAGGTGGTGTCTGCTAGATTTCCTCAATGTATTGCCAGAAGGGAAAAAAGTGGGGAGAAAAAAGATAATTGATTTCTCCACTGTAATTTTTCAAAGGGGTCATGGAGGAAAACTGACAAGAATTGTATTTTGGAAGAAGAATCTCCAAAATACAATTGGGGAGAATCTCTGTCCTGCCTCTTGCCTCCAAGATACATGGCAAATGGGGGTGTTAGTGGCCTGCAAGTGGAGGTTTATTCCAGGTTCTTGGTGACTACTGGGAGAAAAGAATTTCAGGATGCACCACACAAATCAAGCAAGTGCCAGCTTTTTAAAAATTGAAATCTAAAGTACACTCTCGAAAGAGAGCGGGCAGGCAGGCTCAAAAAGAGCAGCTGTATAGCGACAATAACAAGAGGAGGGGAAAAAAAGCAGCTGCACTGGAAAGTTTTTGATCTTTTAAAGTCTTACTATAATAATTGAAGGGAGGAATATTCAAGGCTAAGGGAGTGGCTTTTACTAAGAATTTGGGTAGTTAATTTCTAGAATTGGGTTCACTCTCCATTTTCATACTTTATATGGTTGTTTGGAATGGTCATGGTGATTTCAAGGGCAGAGAAATTTTAAGACTGCAATGTAAATGATATTGTAATTAGCCAGAGTTCGTGTATGGTGACAGAGATAGCTGACAAACCAGTTGAGGCTGGTTCTTGTCTGTGGTTATCAGCTGTCTACTTATAACATCTGCACCCAATCTTCAAGCCTTTGAATCCAGTCTCAGCCCTGTCTCCTCGTCTCCTACTCTGGGAAAAACTAGAATACCAGAGAGTTTACTGCTGACAGAATCTGATTAAAGAGGGCCCAGGTAGAAGAAATGAAAGATTGAGTCAGATTAGGTGGGTATTGGGAAGCACAGGTAAGAGACCATGGCGGCTTGGACCGCTGGTGGTGGCTGAGGTGAAGGGGTTGAGGCTTGATGAGATTAGGCTGGTCGTCTCTTAGGCTTGTTCCTCTACGTGTGTTTCTGGGAGCAGTAGGATCTCCTTTCCTGAGAGTTCATTAGACATGTAGAATTCAGGCCCTACCTCAGACTTTCTGAGCAAATTTACAATTTTAACAAGATCTCCAGGTGATTTGTAAGCATCTTAAAGTTTTAAAAGCACTGTCTTAAGAGAATTGTGAGCCAACTCTTTAAGAGGCAGCTATGCTGCTGGCATGTCACTAATGTCAACAGCCTATGTGCCAGTGCCGAGTATAGCATCAGTGAGGCAAGCGATCTGCCGTTCTTGGGCCACGGGGTAGGTACCTTCTGATTCTGCATTTCCTGATGCTGAGAGACGTAGCACCTTCCTTGGTGGTTGTACAGTGTGGTTTGGCACTCGTTCCTGGAAGCTCAGTGCACACCCTGTTTCTGTAACCCTTGCAATGATTCTGTGAGCTCTACATACCCACAAACAAATCTCTTTCTACTTAAAACCACCTGCACTGGATTCTGTTATCTGCAACTAAGAACTTTGACCACTATGCTTCCTGTCTCAGAGTGGGTAAGACACGGCAACACATCATGATTAGATGAAGTTGGAAGCAACCTAGGGGTGCGCCTTGGTTGATTCTCTCCTAACGGGACCACAGACAAGGCAATTATGAGAGATGGGATCTAGCAACGTCATGGGAAGGAGACAATTGGATTCTATTGATGAACTGCCCTCACTCCCGTGGCTGCCTCCACATGTGACTTTCTCAAGGATCAACGCTGTTTATACTGCACAATGAGGTCTTTTTTATAGTGAGTGAATTATGGATAACATGATACCATATTATAGTATTTTTAATAGGTAAAAAATTTATTACAGAATTGATATACACCAAGAATTAAAAAAAAATGTTTTTAATGGAAATGCCAATAGGAAGGCCATTGAAAACTTGAGTGAAATTGTCAGGAATTGGGAGGGGTGTATGTGCTGTTACTAGAGACAGACATGCCCTACTCCCATCGATTCCCACCAGAGAAGTCAGCATTCTGACTTCTAATAGTAAATTTAGTTTTGCCTGTTTTTTTATGATATGTAAATAAGATTCTATAGGATGCATTCTTTTGCACTGGACTTGTTTAACTCAGCATTTTGTGTGTGAGAGTCATTCATGTTGTGTGTAGTTATAGATTGCTTTAGTATCCCATTGTGCCATTTCTCTGTATATTATGTTTAATGTGGGCAGTTCTGTACAAACCTAGCTCCTCGTATGTAGTGTGGGTAAATTCTCCTTCACATTTTCCCCGTTTTGTTTAGGACCCACTTGTCTTATTCCCTTTGAATGACAATTTGATAGCTGAGTATTGCTTTACCTTCGTTTTTCTGTACACCAACAGTACATGTTCACTGTGGAGAGGAGGGTGTTTTGGGCAGGGTCAGCTCTTTTGGGACCAAGTGCAGCCGTTGGTGGAAGTCCCGAGCTTTTGTTCTCTTCTGAGCCATTGACGTGTCCTGCTGGGACTCATTCCACCCAGCCATTGGTGTGTTCCACCCCATGGGCTTCACCTCTTCCCCCAACTCAACCCAGTTCCCTGGAGGAGGCTGGGCATCACCTCTGCCTCTGGAAAAGTCTGCCACGGCAGGATTCTATAGTTGAGAGTTTTCCTTAAAATGTTCCCTTCTGAATTTTCTTCTTGTGTTCTCGGCCACTATTTTGTTCTTGTATTGCCATTTTTGAATATTGGGTATTAAAAACATTTTAAAACTTTATTTCTTCAGTATTGGAAGCGGGAGAGTCTGTGATCTTGTTTTCCTCTGTTATCTTTGCCTTTTAAAGGCTTTTATGTTTAGCTGCAACAGATGCAAGTGAAAGCAGTTTACAACAAGAAGTGAACAAAATTGTGGAAACTCATTCTAGCCAGATTCTAAGATGTTCACAATTTTGCCAGAAGGTGGTAGCAAAGTTACAATCAAACTTTGAGTAATGACTTGAAATTGTCAGCACTCAGTAAAAACCAAACCAAAACAAACCAAACCAAACCAAAACAAAACAAAACAAAACAAAAACCAAGAAAAAACAAGGAAAACAAAGAAATATCACCTGTTTATTTAACATATGATTTTTATCTGCTAAGTGATGTTTTTAGAACTCAGTATTATTTAAAGGAAAAAAAGTCACAGAGTAAATACAATTCATACTTCTTACATTCGATAGAATGAATGATTATTAAAAAATTCTTTAAGCGTCAAAGGCTCTTTAGCAAACTGAATTTCTACCCTGTCAATAGGACTCTCTATTGGAGGTTAGAAATGAAAATAAAATTAATGGTAAACTAAAAAATGTACAGTGTTCTATAAATTTTCACAATGGTATGCCATTTGGTATCAAATTACATATTAAACACATTCTCCCAACAGGAAAATTACTAAAAATCTAGTAATTAAAATAATTGAAATGTTCTCTCTTGAGACTATCATGATTAATTTATAAAATATTGGAGTAAAGAGGTGAGAAGAACCTAAATAAATATTTTGTTTTCCTGCTTCTATTTTCATTCCTGTTCAGGTTATTTTCAGCATTCCTTCTCATCCTATCCCACTGTTGCCCACCAAATGCACCCTCTAGTTCCTTCATTCATTCAATTTGTTCATTTATCACTTACCCTTTACTGAGCCTACTATTTGCCGGGCACTGTTTGGATGCCAGAGAAATAGCAGTGAGCAAAACAAATAAGGAGCCTGCTGTGATGGACGTGCATTCTGGTGCAGGGCTGTCCAACAGAACTTTCCGAGACGACGACGTTTGTACCGTGCTGTCCAATTCAGTAGCCACCATCCACGTGTGGCCACTGAACACTTGAAATGTGGCTAGTGGCCTTGGTATTGGACAGATAAGTTGTAGTGGCTGAGACAGACTGCTAAACAAATACATTATTTAGCAAATGGCTAAACAAATACATTAGAGAATATTGGAAAATAAGTGGTACAGAAAAATTAAACTGGATAATGTGATAGTAACATGGAGAGGACGGCAATGTTAGTTCCAGTGGCCAATGAAGGACTTTACAGAGACAACAACTGAGGTGAGACCAAACGACAGAAGCCAGCTGTGGGAAAAAATGGAGAGAAAAGCACTCCAGGCAGAGAGAGCCGCTGGTGCAGGAAGAAACTTGTTTTGGAGGAACAGAAAGAAAGGCAACGTGGTTGGAGTGTGGTGAGGAGAGTTAGGAGTCAGGCTCTCGTAGGCCAAGACAGAGAATTAGAATAAAATCTGAAATATTGTGGAAAGCCATGGAAGGCTTTAAATAAAAACTGAGATAAAATTCACATACCATAAAAGTACCCTTTTAAACTATAAAATGCAGCGGTTTTTAGTAGATGGTTGTGTAACCATCACCACTCTCTAATATCAGAACATTCTCATCACCCCAATAAGAGGTTTTCAAGGATCATTTATGTTGTAGCATTTACTAGTACTTCATTCCTTTTTATTTGCCAAATAATATTCCACTGTATGGATATACCACATTTTCTTTATTTTTAAGTTGATGGGCTTTTGGTTTGTTTTCACCTTTAGGCTGTTATGAATAATGCTGCAGTAGACATTTGTGTATAGGTGTTTTTTGTACATGTATTTTCAGTTCTCTTGGGTATATGCCTCGGAGTGGGATTACTGGTAATTCTGGTAAATGCTGCAACATAAATGATCCTTGAACACTTTATGCTAAGTGAAAGAAGCCAGTCGCAAAGTTCACATATTGTATGATTCCATTTATATGGAATGGCTAGAACAAGCAAACCCATAGAGATAACTAACACAGTTATCATGGTACCATATGGTAACTCTATACTTAATATTTTGAGCGAAATCTAAAAATGAAATCCTAAACTTCCTTGCCCACAACCAACTGAACAGACCCATTCTTGGCCAAGGGGACCCAAGAGAAATCTTAAAAATTGAGTTCCTGGCTATGATGGGATGGGAAGTTGCACATGTCTAGTTATATCCCTGCGTTTTGAGATTTAGACATAACAATGGATCAGCATTAATGTTTAAAATAGAGATCATACGACTGACAAAATGCATTATTTAGGGCAATAAGATACCAAATTATAAATAGGACCTACAGCCATGCCAGGCAAGGGTTAAGTCACACACCCCCTACACTTAAAGAATAAACTATGTTCTACCTGCCACAAGATTTTTCTTTTTCTCTGGCAGCTAAACAAGCACTGGCCTTTAGGTAAGCAGTATTAAAACAGTTTGCAGCCCATTTACTGCAGAGGCTGACTAACTGACCCCGCCCTTCCAGAAGCCATAGCTACAGCTTTGCTTGGACAAGAGACTGATTTCAGCAACTTCCTCCTGATAAGCGACCACCAACCATGGCCTGGTTCTGGTTGTTTATAGAGATGGCACACTTGAATGCCTTTGCGTCTTGAAAGGATCTTCTGATGTATGGGGCCTAACTGTAATACATTTAAACGTCAGGTGTCCACCCCAAGGTGAACATGGGTCATGTGTAACATGCATGTTTGTTCAATGCACATGCATTAAGATCCCCTTTTTTATGAATATTCATAGCTCCTCTTGTCACCTGTTAAATATGTATACTTGGCCAACCCATTTAGCATAAATCCCCAGCCCCTCCTCCTATGAAGTGCCTGTTTTTAGGCTCCGCTAGAGGCTGTGGTTCTTAAGAGTGACCACCTTGCAGGCTGCAACCCTTTATAAGAAATAAATCTCTCCTTTCCAAATTTATAAACCGTGTGATTTTTTAAGTTAACATGAGGAACTGCCAAACTGCTTTCTAAAGTGGGCGTACCATTTTACATTCATGCCAGCAATGTATGCAAATTCCAACTTTTCTACATCCTTACCAACTCTTATCATCTATCTTTTTGATTATAGTCATCCTACCGTATTACTCACCTTTAACAAGGAATATAACAGATATTTTTAAGTATTTAAGATTTTCAGAGGATAAGCTTATTACCTAAAGCCTTGGGCCACCGCGCCTGGCCCAAGCAGTTTTAGGTTCACAGCAAAATTGAGGGGAAGAAGGCCGGGTGCGGTGGCTCACACCTGTAATCCTAGCACTCTGGGAGGCCGAGGTGGGCAGATAGTTCAAGGTCAGGAGTTCGAAACCAGCCTGAGCAAGAGCGAGAACCCGTCTCTACTATAAATAGAAAGAAATTAATTGGCCAGCTAAAAATATATATAGAAAAAATTAGCCGGGCATGATGGCACATACCTGTAGTCCCAGCTACTTGGGAGGCTGAGACAGAAGGATTGCTTGAGCCCAGGAGTTTGAGGTTGCTGTGAGCTAGGCTGACGCCACGGCACTCACTCTAGCCTGGGCAATGAAGTGAGACTCTGTCTCAAAAAAAAAAAGAAAATTGAAGGGAAGACGCAGAGATTTCTTGTATACCCACTGGCCCCTACACGTGCATAGTCTCCTCCGTTAGCAACATCCCCTACCAGAGTGGAATATTTGATGTAATCAGTGGACCCACAATGACACACCATAATCATCCAAAGTCCAGAATTGACATTAGGGTTCACTCTTGCTGTTGTACGTGCTATGGGTTTGGACAAATGTATAGTGACATGTATCTGCTCTCACAGTGTCACAGAGTATTTTCACTATCCTAAAATCCCCTGTGCTTCACCTGTTCCTCCCGTACTCATCCCCCCACCCCAGATTGGCTTTCTGTTTGAACATTTGAAGCAGTGGGAGGTCACTATGACTTCATGAGATGATTCTATTTTTGGAAATGTTTTTCAAATGACTCTTTATTGAGCCGTAGTTTTTTGCTTCATAGGGCCACCCTCGTTTATACTTTGGGAGCTAAAAAGGTAAAATATACTCTTCTTTTCATGTGAGGACCTGTCCCGAAACCCACCAATGCCCTGGATGGAGTCAACCCAGGTTCTCTAGGAGGCGGCATGGAGGAAGTCTCGCTGCAGGGCTGCCCGTGGCTGGTGCATTTCTCCCTGGAGATCTTCTTGCTAATTATGGCTGTCACCACCTCCCTGGCATTATGGGGAGCCATGCCCACCCCCAACCCCAACACGTCAGTGCTACTGTCCTTGTCCCTTAATTCCCTAGAGCACAGCCAAGACCAAGAGTAATTCCCTGCTACTATTCAGAAGTTTTTGGTAGACACAGTGATTTGCAGCCACGTCTCACACTTGCTCTTTGGAGGCCTCAGGCCCATTTGGTCCACATAAGAGGCCAAGGAACAGGGAGGGGCATGCTCAAAGGTTTTATTCCAAACCCACTTCTCTTTCAAATTCTGTGTTGCTTCCATCGCCCTCGTAGCTTCTGACTGAGGCCACCACAGCGTGATCAATCCATCCAAAGGAAGAGGCAGACTCAAGCTTCTGGCTTAGCAGTTGCTTTACAGAGCTGGGGGTTTGGAGGAGATGGGAGCCTCCTCCTTGGAGGGGGCTAAGAGTGGACTGGGAGAATGAGTCAGGCTCTCCACTCTTCTCAGTCACGTCATAGTCCCTCTGATTTGGCAAGGACAAGGTGAAATCCACTCAGAAAACCTATCACAGTGGAGTTCCTGTTTCCACAAGGAAAATAAACAATGAAATGAAAAGATGAAGCGGAGAATTGAATAAAGAAAATTTATGTATTTTCTTTTTACATGTGTCTATGGAGGGTGAAAGATACAGGGTGGGAAAGAAAAGCATGTTAATAGATGCAGTATCTCTGTGAGGCTTTAAATTCAGCCCTGCCTTTGGCAGGAGTGGACTTGGAAGATTTCTTTTGGCCTTAAAATTCTGTAATTCTATTTTCACAGAACAGAATTCCACAAACTCCTCTGGCAACAGGACCTCAGTTTCCAATGTTTCACAAGTCTTAGAGTGAGGAAATTTCGTGGAAATCTTCAGAAAATAAGCTATAATCCATGGTACACTTCCAAGCATGTGCACAAGGCAAGCTTCCTTCAGGGTGCCAGGACGTGCACCATGAGGAGAGCCAAGTATTAAAGAATGCTTCTCTGCGTCAATGAACTCAATAAATGCGAATTCTCAGCCCAGCAGATGGAATGTTTTAAGGGAAAGAAGAAAACTTCTGAAAATGAAACTCAAGAAGCTGCATGTACTTTGCTTCAAAGTTGCAGGGACTCCCTGAAGTTAGGAGCGGGGTGACAGCTCTCAGGGACTTAGGGGACCGTGTGAGTGCCCCGCAGCTAGTGCAGAAGCCCTGCCTCGACTCCAGTGCCTTGCGTGGAACAAGTTTGCCTTTCAAGACACTAGGGTGCTTTAGAATGCCTTAGAATTCATCACATGGCTTCAATGTAGACTCCTGGTGTTGCTTTCACAAATGACCCCAAGCTTTCACAAGATGAGAGCTGTGTTTGCTTGTGTAGTGTTGCCTTCTTCACGATGTCCTCACTGTGACATAAACACAGGATTTGGAGTCAGGAGGTCTGGATTTGAGTCTTGGATCTGCCACTTATTGGCAGGGGAGGCCTTTGTCAAGTTGTTTAACTTCTCAGAGCCTCAATTTTCTCAGCTGTGGAAAGGGGGTGATATTAGTAACAGTATTATTGAGGGATAAGTGAAATGAATGTTTTATCCTATAGGAGGACATATAATAGATACTGTATAAAGGATTATCTTTCCTTTCTGTTTTTCAGTGAGCTAGGATAATAGAGTAAGACAAGTGGCTAACCAAACAAACTCACTATCTGATATAACCAGCCGTATTCCCACATACATCAGTGTCCATGAACTTGTCCTCCAAGTCCTCATTGGTTGGAACTTGTTTTATACTTACGGAGAAGGATTTGAGAGAAGAGGTTTTGGTTATATGTTAGGAGCAGAAGGCGACAGTAGCCGAGGAGCGTCTGTTTCAAGCGTTTTGATGGAAGCACAGCACCACCGACTGTGGGAAACCATGGCCCCTGTGCAGGCAGTGTTGTAAAGCAATTCTGCTTTTGATCTCTCCTTTTCCCTGAGCACTCCACTGCGCCCTTGGGGCTGTCCCCATACCGCTATTGCTTCTTGAGGGTCTATGCCTTCCACTGGTGTCCTAATTAGACCCTGGCTTCCCTCAGTAAAAGCCGCAAGAACAACCCACTCCCCCTTCATAGAAATGCCTTTTGTCTCTTTCTCTCAAGGGCTTACTCTGTTTTCTAGACTAGTCCATGGAATACATATTGGCACAGTTTAGCCCAGCAAGTGAGGAGGGGCCCGTGTTTCTCCCAGTTTCCCTCTCTGCTTTCCAACAGATGCCCTCCGTGGTCTCAAGCAAGTTGAAGGCAAGATGGCAAACAAGTAGAGAAGGAAGTCTCTGAAGATCTGTCATCTTGTCTGCTCTTAAATTTCAACATTTAAATGACTTTTCTGTGATTTTCTGTGCAGTGGTCATTGGGAATAGAAGAAAGAGGAAGAAAACTTGGGGCGTTTGAGTTGTTTGGCCTGATCAGCTTCTCTGCTCAATAAGCTATGGAGTACTTGTGGCATGAAGAAGCTACCTAAAGAGCTTCTAAAATGAAGATGCCTGTTCTCATCCCAAGGAAAATAAAATAGACCAACATTTGCATGTGGTTAACAAAATCTCTCAATCTTATCATCTTTCTTGGTCTAGACCTGAACTGTGCAATAGAACTTTATGCTGTAGTTGTTTGTTGCCCCCCAGATTTTCATTATAAGACCCCCAAATCATAGCACAGGAATACATCTCAAAATAATAACACAAACATTTCAATAAAAGGAATGGATGTGGGGAAAATGATTTAGTTGGTTACAGAGATGTCAGTTATCTTACTGAATAATCATTCTTCTGTTAGGTGATACAAGTTATTGCATATCCAATTTAATCCATTGTTTTGATTTACAAGGCTTAGAGACAGCTTTCAAATTACCAAAAGTAAAGATCATTGTATAGAAGATATCTGTTTTATTAATTCAACACTGCAAAAAATTGCTATATCTTAAAGTTCAAGTCTCTTTAACTTTCTTTATTGTTACATTGTACTTACTGTGTGTTTTTTGGTTCAGATACTTCAAGAAAAATGGTCTATTTGCATTTCAAATTCCTGAATTATGCCTTAGTTATGATTCAGATGTTCTGCTGATTGTCTTAAGACTGCTGTTTTATGATTTTTTTGACATGATGCCAGGAATGTTGTATAAAAAAAGACAAAACCCAACAGATTGAGAAACTCGAGTCAAACTGAGGCAAGCATGAGCAAACTTCATCCAAATGAGGAAGGAACTTAGAGTTTTCACTAGATATTTCAAAAGTCTGGGTTTTTTTTTTTTTTTTTTGAGACAGAGTCTCGCTTTGTTGCCCAGGCTAGAGTGCCATGGCATCAACCTAGCTCACAGCAACCTCAAACTCCTGGGCTTAACCAATCTTACTGCCTCAGCCTCCCGAGTAGCTGGGACTACAGGCATGCGCCACCATGCCTGGCTAATTTTTTCTATATATATTAGTCTGCCAATTAATTTCTTTCTATTTATAGTAGAGATGGGGTCTCGATCTTGCTCAGGCTGGTCTGAACTCCTGAACTCAAATGATCCGCCCGCCTCAGCCTCCCAGAGTGCTAGGATTACAGGCGTGAGCCACTGCGCCCTGCCAAAAAGTTTGGGTTTTTATTTTGTTAAATTTCATTGCATGAGCCAACATTTATTGAGTAACTATTGCATACCCTCTATTATGTGCCTTTAGGTTGGCATATGGGGATAAATTCAAATTCTCATTCTTGTTCCGAGCCGGTGCGAAATTCAGAAATACCGTCATTGATATTTTCTTTTGAAGTTCAAATCAATTTAACATATACTGACTGGGGGCCTAGTGTATTCCAGGTGACAGTCAATGATTTGAAAATCATTATAGGATACAAAATGAAATATGTAGCTTATTGAGCAATACTATAAGACACCACTGAGGTGTTTATAGATAGAAGAATTAAATCTATCTCAGAATGCTGATGTTTTCTGGAAAAGGAAATGCTGTTAAACCACAGACATGCTATCATCTTTCAATATCAGGTCCCTTCCCTCTTGGAGCCTGGAGCATGTACCGTACTTTGTTCAGACCAGTACTGAGTTTGCTGAGATCCCCCCCCCCCCCCCCCCCCCGCGTGATCAGTGTTTGGGAGAACTCACGTTAGCCCATGAATACGTTAAGTTTTAATGGGCACTCAGCACAGGGCGGGATTGCTCTGGGACTTGCTTTCTTTTATTTCACATATTAGATCATTTCATTTAGGAAATAGTAGTGCCTATAAGTAATTACCTCTCTCTCTCAATTTTATAAACAATAGTAGTAACCAGATCCTTCGAGGTTAATGCTAGAAAGAAAATTTCCTAGGGGTGAGGAGCAGCAGAATCTCATATCCTTGATGTTTGTCCCTCAGAGATCACTGTCCTGTGGGTATTGTCTGCTATGTTCCCCTGCCACCACCTCCACTCTGGGTGGGGACCATCACTTCCCTGTTAACAAAGCTGGCCTAAACAGGGAAGCATGGCCTCCCACTCATGCTTGTATAGCACAGCCAAGCCAAGTTATGTCGTTTAGAAGAGGCTTTCCTAAAAGGTACAAAATGGCCAAAGGCAGAGTGTTACTGAATGCAACAGGGAGCACAGTAACCTTTGGACAAATCTGTCCTGTTTATGGTTCACTGGAGTGAGCATCCTCACTCCCCAGCTCCTGTCCTACTAAAGACACCTAAACCTTCCAAGTTCCATCCCAAGAGAATGCCTAAGCTCCTGTTTTCCCCCTAGCTGGTGACACTAGCAGTGACCGCCTACCCCTCTTCAGAGAAGGAGGCCACAGTTGGCCATGGAGGCAGAACCCCAATATGGTATACACGCTAGAATGCCCTCAACATTTAGTAACAGGATGGCCCTTTCCTGGGAGTCATCATTACCTTGTATCCATGGATGCAGCTAAAGGGCAAGTCATCTTTGTCTCTCCAGTGTTCAAGACTAAGCACCAAGATGTGCTGGGCAGCCTTTGTGGAATAAATTGTTCACCTGTCATCTTTCTATCTGAGCCCTGGAAGACTTTCCCTTTAACCTTCCATCTAGTCACTCTTACATCATTCTTCCCACCAAATGGCAGAAGTGCCCCTGGTAAAGATATCAAAAGGGATGAGACTGAATAATTACAACAGAACTTATTTGAATAATCTATTTTTCCTAATTGCTAAACAACATCAGACAATGTGAAAATCCATCTTAAAACCCCTATAGGCTTACCCTTTGTTGCAAGCAATAACAAAAGGACTAAAAATGTATAATTGCACTTAGACATTATGAGCATCCAATCTTTTGTGACATTTAAGAAATTTTTTTTCATACATACATTTTTATCTACCAAATAAAAATCAATAGAAGAGGTTTTAGTCCAGTAAAGGAGAATCTTAGTGATAAAAACCAAAGTGTCATTTATTTTCCTAAGTCAATTGAAGCTGGAATTCTCAGTTTCCTGCTGCCACTCTTCAAAGCAGGTCTCTGCCTTAGGTCTGGGAGATGATGCCAGTGTCCAAGCCAGCTCCTGACTCTCAGCACTCAGAATCCTCTTTGGATATTTTCTTGAAGAACTTAGACCCATTTTCTGAAAAAGAAAACTACAGAAACTTAGAGTACTGTGTTCTGATCTGAGATGAGATAAAGGTTCAAAAGGAATTTTTTTTTTTTTTTTTTTTTTAAATAGACAATGATATAAAAGGCCAGGAAAACAAACTCAGTTTTTCTTTGAAAGTGTTTAATTTCCATGGTTCCAGTTTTAGGTATTTGAGCATGATGATAGCTCTGAGCAAAACCTCAATCCATTGACGTCCTGTAATTAGAACAAGCCTCTCCATCATTCATTCATCCAAAGTGTTTACCAAAGGCCACCTGTAGGCATAGCAGTGTACCAGATAGGTCCTGAGGAGTGTAGGACAGGCAAGTGACACTCTCCTTGCTTCAGAGGGTTTACAGTCAGGACCCACACTGGGGTGAACAGTCCCTCAAGGCGCCCAGAGCAGGTGGCTCAGCTGAGTGGCCTTGGTGTGCATGTTAGAGAAGTTTGGAACCAACTGGGCTTTTGTGTCTTGTAGGACCTGAGCCACTGGGTGATTGACAGCTATGTGAAGCTGGATGTGAGGGAGAAAATATGGCTGCACAGGTTCCTGGGTTCAGCAGGAGATGGTTAGAAAGAAAGTTATTTAGGTGACTCAATAAAAAGAGGAAATGGGAGCCCAGGCTTCTTGACCAAACATGGTTATTTACAGGAGGATGGGGCTGGGGGAGGAGGAGGTGGGGAGAAATGCACGCATATGTATCACTGTGCAGATGCATAAGAGTCTAAACGGCAGATGGAATTGACTGGAAAGGGAAAACCTCAAGATGCGTGCCATCGGAAGGGGCTGGCGATGCAGAACGGCTGTGACATGGCGCCTAATGAGTCTGGAGCACCTCTCCTGGAAAGACTCACAGGACTTCGTGATGTTATCAAATTAATTTTTATTAAGTCTTTAACACTCTAAAATACTTTCTAATCCTTATGATCTCCCTTCTGATATTAATTTATCCCATCTGTCTCTAGACTGTCCCTGGGAACTCCCCCACCTCCTAATTTAACATTCCTTTGAGTCTTCAAGGCTTAGTTAATTCTTATTTTATCTGTGAGCGGGCAGTGTTTAACACAGTCCGTAGATGTCACTGTTAAGGTGTCCGCCCAACAAGCCCTTAGGTCAAAAGCTTCAGGTTCCCCTTGACGGATTAACTCCCTACTTGGTTGGCTCTGTAAGGTCCACAATCTGTGCATAGTATTTACTTAAGACTGTGGTGTAGACACCTCTCCATTTCAGGGATGACATTAGAGACACGACTTGTCTGGGGTCTGTGATCACTGCTTTCACCGGCCTCTGGCTGTAGCACATTGCCTCATGCACTAAGAAGCCACAGTTGCCCTTCAAGGCTGATTCAATGGCATTTAATGGTATCTAACCCTGGCTCACTGCCCTCTGGATTTAGATCTTTAAGTTGTGGCCAAAATCTTGGCTCTGAAGATGGAGAGGGGATCAGGTACCACATGGTCCTGAGTGCAGGAGCCAGTCTGAATGTGTCCTGTCACTTGATAGCAGACAGACAGTCTTCATCAGCTACTCAGGACTCCAGGCGCCAGGAAGTAAGTTGAGGTCAGGGAGTTTGTTTTATCTACTGATTTGGAAAAATATTTAGCCTCCCTGGAACAGGGATGTGCATTCCGTGTGCCTGAAGCCATGAAATTTGGCAAGTCCCATATCAGATGCCTGTTATACAACTCAGTCTAATTTAGATTGTAAGGCTGCCAGAGGGAACCAGGTCTCTCCCTTGGTCCAAAAGTCCCTTCTGACAATTCTTAGGCCCCAACAATCAATATCAATCAATAATAATCATCATCATAATAATGATATCTGTTTCCCAGATTTGACCTACAGTTCAAGACCCACAGCTTTGGATAATCAGAAGTAAGAATTTGGCCCACAGGGACATGTGAATGACTTGTGCAATAATTTGGCCATCTTACAAATGAAGACAAAGGTATCTGACAATGGGAATTAGAATGAAAAC